AATGAATTCACGTGACAATCTTTCTTTTCCAAGCAATCCTTGGAATAAAAATCCTAACTCCTGAATTTGTATGACCGTGGTTAAACCATGATCCAGGCCTCCAGGGCTCCTGGGTAGACGCAAGTACTAACGGCCTGCCGTCAACGGATAAACCCCTGGACCAAATGGTGACGCAAGTACTAACGGCCTGCCGTCAACGGATAAACCCCTGGACCAAAACCGCTTAAACCCAAATCAGCAAGACCTCATTATCATCTGCGAGTCGCCTACCTTTTATACAATTCCTTCCTTCCCAACAACCCAACAGAGCCTTCTCGCTGCCACGCGGGTCCCGGACCCACACGTCATCCACGTGCGTCGCCGACTCAGAAGTCGATAAGCCCACGGGGGCGGGCCTCGCCCTCGCATTCTCTGCTTTCCTTCCTCCGGTTCCTAGTCCACCGGCCCTGCCCCTCGTATTATCTCCCCGTTCTCCGTTCCTCTTCGCGTGCGCATTGACGACGAATTTCTAGAGCGCCGTACCGCGCACGACTCCCGAGCCCACCACCGCGAAGCGCCGGAATCGGGAGGCATCCAGCCTTGCCTTGCTCCGCGGCGAGAGGCGGCTGAGGAGGCTGGGGTGATGTACCCGGTGGTGACGGGCACGCCGCCGGCGCGGCTGCCGGCGGCGTCGCGGGTGGACAAGGCCACGAGCCACCTGCTGCAGGGGCCCGACTGGGCCGTCAACCTCGAAATCTACGACACCCTCAACGCCGACCGCTGGTGAGCGATCGCCATCCTCTCTCTCCCTCGCTTGCTATCCTGATGTCCTTCTCGCTCGTGGGGTCCGCGCGTCGGCGTGGTTGTCAAGTTGCTTGCTTTGTGTGGGGAATTTCGAAGCGTGGTTGGGGTTCTGCCTGTGCGGGCAGCAACGGCGGCGCGGCTTTGCAAATTCCGTTGCCTCGCGGCTCGCACTGCTCGTGGTGTTCCTCTGGTTGGGGTTTTGGTTTGGGGCCGTTGACCCGATCGCTTCAGCCAGTCTTTGGTTAAAAAAATTTGGGCCGATTTGAGGATTGGCTAGAGACTAGTAGTTAACATGATTTCTTTGAAGTAACCAGTCTGTGGCTCTCGGTTGCTTTCTTTTTTGTTGCTATATGCACCAAGCAGAGAACTTTGCATGCCAACTTTATCATTGGGTGGCAACTGGCAAGTGGCATAAATATGAGAAAAGCTTAACTGCAGCTTGAGCTTAGGTGGAATCCTGTCTGCGTCCACCGATATCACGGAACTTACGCTGCAAATTGTGGAGAGCTTTAGCTACATGGGGTCTCATCATGATGTGTTACTGTTTTAGTGGCAAGTTCAAGAGCTTGCTTTCCTTTACAGCAAATGGGAAAGATGAAGCCTGGTGGTAGAGTTTTGATTAGTGGTCAAGAAATATGATGGCTTTTACGGTTTTACTCAATGATGATGCCACCCTTGGGAACCTCAACTCTTGTTTTGGTACTTTGACAGTTGACAACAGTGCTCTTTGTAACTTTCGGTTCCAACTTCATTGTAGTTGTTGTTCAGGGTAACAAGTGCATTTGGATTTCCATTTAGTTGTGGTACTGGTTAGTTACCATTTTATAATGAGTCATTCATTTACAAACATATATTGCGTGGGATTTGCCTTTTTGTACATGATTCATTTTTGATTATAGGTTATTAATAGAAGCCTACAAAATCCGAACTGTAAGCTAAACTATTCTGATTAGACGTCACAGTCAGGAGACATACACAGAATAACTTACATAATTGCACTTCTGATTTTCCTGGCTGAGAACTTATATATTATCACTCTGAATCACGCAAACAAAGGATGTGGTAAAAGCTGTGAAGAAGCGATTGTAGCATAAGGACCCAAAAGTTCAATTCTTTACTTTGACGGTGCGCACTATAATCAATCTCATGATCAATAATGTTTCTGTAATATTTGGTCTGGGATTAGAAATATATTTTCTGCACACGAAATATTTTTAACTGTTTATACCACCTGTTGAATTTCTGCAGTTATTGGAGACAATGATGAAGAACTGTGGTGAATATGTTCATTTTGAAGTTGTTGATCAGCATGTTTTACAAGAGATGGTTAAAATTGTCCAGAAGAGGGTATGTCCATCATCCTCTCTCTTATCACTATTATTATGTTGCAAAGAGAAACAAGAATAGTTGAATGTTGACGGATGTTTGTCAGTTTTAAAAAGTTCCATCAAAATTAGCTATGCATAAGCATTTTTCATATGTATTTTGAACTTTATGAGATATAACCATTGAAAAAAAGGCATTGTGTACGTAGTTTCGCAAAATTCATTTCAGCTTGTGAGCATATGCTTGCATTTTATTTTATATATACTCTAAATAATTATCAGAAGGGCAAGCCTGGTGCAAGCGGTAGAGTCTTACCGCCTGTGACCAGAAGGTCCCGGGTTCGAGTCGCGGTCTCCTCGCATAGCACAGGCAAGGGTAAGGCTTGCCACTGACACCCTTCCCTAGACTCCGCACAGAGCGGGAGCTCTCTGCACTGGGTACGCTCTTTTCTAAATAATTATCAGATTTCAAATTGGTCTCAAATGTTAACCATTGCCTGCTTCTGTGTTTGCTAATGATAGAATAATGAACAGCAGAGCTGCTAAAGTTGCAATATCCTATTGTTGTTTGGTTGATCAGTCTTCAAAGCACGAAAATTGGTCTGGTCATTTCAAGTCACCTTTTCCTCAATTTTTTATGGGTTCACTGTGGGTATCTATTTTCATTTTTCACTAGAAACTTATTCATGTTAATTTGTGTTTTAGGCGAACCATAATTCTTCTTTCAAGTAACCTTCTGAGTTCTGACTGTTACTATGTGAACTGCTAGAGGTTGCAGTCTGTGTTTCTACAGATCATAATATTGACGCTAAGCCTCTTGTACTTTGTGGATCTGTCGTAGCCTTGTATTTATTATTCATTTACATTTTCTTTTCTCTTAACAATGGAGAAACATGATGCTATATTTCTGCTTATATCTTTTTTTATCAAATATTTCAGCATGATATGCAAGTGAGAGGGATAAAGGCATTGTTACTTCTGGATTCATGGCAAGGGGCATTTGGTGGACCTGGTGGCAAATATCCACAGTACTACTGGTCATACATTGAACTAAAGGTATGCATCCAATACCAATTCAGTCTCATGTGCAGATAGTTTCTATGTCATGGAGATGGAGTATTCTTCTCCTAAATTAATTTGGAGTTAAAACATGCCTTGGAAGAAATATGTGCACCAGGGATAGATAATTCCCACATTTTAATGAACTATTATTCTACTAGCCCTTATTGTATGTTCTTGTGGCAAAACGTTTTACAGAGGGCAGGAGTAATGTTCCCACGACGTCCTGTAGATGCTCCTCCAATATTTACTCCTCCTGCAACACATCAGGTGTATGGTTCACCTAGATATCCTTCTGGAAGTCTAAATGAGAGAATCACATCTGATGCTGAAACATTGAGGTAAACTCTTATGTAGCATTGGCTTATTTGACTGTCCCAAGTGTAGATTTTTCTTTTATTACTACTGTTATGGATATAACCCTTTTTTGTATTTTGCTGCTCAGCTTTGAGGGCTTGAATAATATTAGAAATGCAACAGAACTGCTGTGTGATATGGTGAATGCTTTGAACCCTGCTGATCGCATGGCAGTTAAAGATGAAATTATTACAGATCTTGTAAATCAATGTCGTTCAAATCAACAAAAGCTCGTGCAGTTTGTCAGTTCCACAGGGTACGCTTATCCCTCTCAGATTATACAGAGCTACATTACCTTGTTCTTAATGTATTGCATAACCTAATTTATGAATAAGCATGGTTTCCATTGTTGCAATTTATGATGTCTAATGTCTACATGGTGGTGTAGACATTCAGTACCAATCAGCAGAGAGCTCCCGCCTATGCGGGGGTCCTGGGAAAGGTGTCGATGGTAAGCCTTACCTCGCTCGTCTGCAATGCGAGGAGACCGCGACTCGAACCGGGACCTTCCGGTCACAGGCGGTAAGACTCTACCGCTTGCACCAGGCCCGCCCTGGTGTAGACATTCAGTGTATCATAAAAATAATATATGAATTTTTGTGCATCTTGTTGTCAGGGATGAGGAGCTGCTAAAGCAATAGAATTAAATGATCGCTACAGAGTGTACTCACAAAACATGATGCCATTGCTTCTGGTTCTCCACTACCAGTTGAAACACCGAGTAGAGAACTACACAGAGAGGATCCAAATCCTGAGCCATCTACACCAATTACACATGATAATAAGGCTCAAGTTGAAGAGGATGAAGATGATGAGTTTGCTCAGATAGCACGAAGAAGGTACCTAGTGGCCTGCAAAATGCTTCAGGCAGTCTATACTTACTGTAATTGTTTGTTACGGTTTTAACTATTGATCATTTTTTATGTATTTGCAGAAAAAACAAATCTGTGATATCCAGTGATGAGGCATCATCTGGTGATCAGGCCCTGGTACCCGTTGATCCAGCACTTTCTGAAGTTTCTTCAGTTGCGAGCAATGCAATAGTACCTCTCGACGCAACTTCTGGTAGTGGAACCAGGACGAAGGAGCAGGATATGATTGATCTTCTCAGCCTCACCTTGTACAGTCCTCCTGAATCATCTGCAGATTCTTCAACTCAGAACCAAAATGGGAGTCAGCCGAGTGTCACATCAAATGGACCAGAAACACTGCCGAGCTATCAGCCTGCTGTGGCAAATGGGGCAAATTACCCTGCCAACAACTCGGCTTATCCAACAAACCAGGGATATGTTCCTTACAATAACTATGTTGCACCATGGGCCCAAACGGGACCGGTTGCACAGCCTGGCATATCCGACTCAACCCCAGCAATATGTGACTCAACCCCAGCAATATGTGTCTAGCTATCCGGCACCACCATGGGCTATGCCTGCAAGTGCCAATTCAGCTAATCCTTTCCAGCCTGCGACATACCAAATGCCAAACCCTCCTGCTGCTTCTGTTGCCCCTGCAGCTACCTATCCAACTACATCAAAACCATATGCTGCTCCATCAATGCAACTTGTTCCATCTCCAGCACCAAAACCGGTGCAAAATTACAACTCTTATATTTCTCAAACATACACTGGTCTGAACATGGCTACAGATGCTCGGATGAACGGAAATCAGCGGCCAAAAGAAACTCCAGTGGCAGCAGCCAGACCATATTACATGCCGGACAATTTGTTTGGAGACCTGATCGACGTGAAGAGTTTTGGCGCTGGAAGCAAGATCAACAGGTCTACCAGCATGCCGAGTCCAAAGGGTGGTGGCCAGCCTATGATTGGTAGAAACAAATAGGCCTCCGAAGTTCAAAATAGGGATGAACATATATTTAGTTAGTTGCTACAGTTGCTTGGTTTGATGTAAATTTGCTGTATATTTTAACGTGTCAATTCGCGAATTTGTTACGTTGGTCAATTTCTCAGTTGCTGCATGTTTAACTTTACTAGAGATGCCGAGATGGGTAGAGAAGTCATTGCTGCAGATGATCAATGACATTATCGTGATGGCTTGATGATAGAAACCACCATTGCCTGCTTCGTGTTTTCTATTCTCGCATATATTCATTTAATTCGTGAACATTTTATTTTGGATTGTACGTTAAATTTTTCTTTCTTGCCAAATCACTGGTACTGAATCTAATTTGTAAAGCCGCATCTCGCATCTATTGAACAGTGATAAGGGTTTGTCTACGGAGAGCAGAAATATGTGGAGCATCTGAAAATAAGTTGATATGGGTCACAAACAAACAGTTGCTATTCAGACGACTAGCTAGATCAGGATTAACAGATTGGATGAAGCTAGAGTTTACAAGAATCATATTGCTCAATGGGTCTGCGAGACAGATTACAAGACGAGGTGCTGTCTCACAAGTACTCTTATTTATGGGCAACCATGCCAACGGATCAACGGATTAAGAGACAACGAGGTGCTGTCTCACAAATCGCAACATTATTTATGGGTAAAAATCCCATGCCAACGGACCAGAGTATGCACATCATCTTCGCCCTGCCTGCCTCGCACATCATCTTCGCCCTGCCTGCCTCACAGCTTCGAGAGCGCAATGTCCATCACCTCAATGAAGAAGTCTGCAACACGAGGCAGTTCGTCATTTCCCCGGAAAAATCACGTGTCACTGGTTCAGATCAACGAGGAATGCTTCAGCAGATAACAGGTCTTACCGGAGTCATCTTTGGTGAAGCACAACGGTGGTGTTATCCTAAAAACGTTCCCGTAGAAACCACCCTTCCCAACCAACACTCCCATATCTGTTGAAGAAGAGAGCACTTAGATTACAGTAAGAGTTCTGCATCTAGCTTCAGACCTGGAAGAGGTTGTCAAAGCACAACACACTTACCTTTCATATGGTTCATGACATGTGAGATCTCAACTTTGGCTGGGGTTTTCTTTTCACGGTCTGTCACCAGCTCAACTCCAAGAAGGAAGCCTTTGCCCCTAACATCACCGATGACTGAAGAACAGACAGGTAAAATGTAAGTGGCAAGTAATAATGACATGATTTATTTGTTTCTTTTTTCATTTGCCTGCTTACTTTCATGCTTCTCTTTCAGTTTGTTAAGCTGTTCCTTTAGATAGGAGCCCACAACAAACGCATTCTCCTGGAGCTTCTCCTTCTCCAGCACTTTGAGCACTGCATGCCCGCCCGCAGTGCTGACAGGGTTACCACCGAAGGTATTGAAGTAACTTCTGCGGGTCAACACCTGAGCAATCTCTGGTGTTGTCACGACGGCTCCTATGGGTATGCCATTCCCAATACCCTGAAATTCAATAAGAACATGTGAGCAACCGACTTGATGCGCCAGATGTGCATTTTGATGATTTTACCATTATGGGATGTCATGGTATTGTAAGAGCCTGCACATTATGGAGGATTTTCAAGCTTTACCTTGGCCATGGTGACTATGTCTGGGATGACACCATGCCCTTCGAATCCCCAGAAGTGGCTTCCAGTTCGCGCAACTCCTGCCTGAACTTCGTCAGCGATGCAGAGTCCACCAGCTTTCCTTACCATATTGTATGCCACGGGCAAGTATCCTGGTGCCAATTCCACTATTCCACCAACCCCCTTCAAAAAAGAACATGTCGTGCTCAGGGGAAAAAAATTGCTTTTCATCTAAAAGAGTGATGAAGATGCTCAACCGGTGCTTTGATATAGGAATACCTGTATGGCTTCCGAAATGAAACCACCAACTCTCCCTGTAGTCCCAAATTCAATAATTTCCTGAACATCTCTGGCATATTTCTCCCCGTCAGAACCAAAAGCACCTCTGTAGGGGTCTGGATTAAGCGCATGGTGTACTCCCGTCTGGATACATTATGAGCTAGCAATCATCAAGGTGTTTTGCCACAAAACAAAGTACTCAATGGAGATTTTAAAGCACAGTGATGCAAAGAACATGGGACCGATGCAAGTATAGCTATGGAACTTCATTAGTTTGGATATGATGTTTCTAGGTAAAGTTTTGGGGTTTCACCTTATTGCAGTATTGAAAATGGAAGGGGCACCCACCTGAACAACATTGAATTTCCAATTGGATTGAGCGGTAGCACCCATTGTTCCAGCAGCATTCCCATGGTATCCATTCCTAAGTGAGATAATGTCATTACAACCAGTATAAAGCCGTGCAATCATCAGTGCAAGCTCATTCGCCTCCGTGCCTGAATTTGTGAAGAAAACAACCTGCAAAGAAAGACACCAGTTTCCATGAGGCTCAATCATCCAAAAGAATGCCCATTTCTGAAGTAACTACAAATAAAGAAACATTTGAAATTTTTCTTAGAGAATACCTTCAGATCACCAGGCATTTTGGAAACCAATGCCTCGGCAAAATCTGCAATAGCATGATTGAGATACAGAACTGTGGAGTGCTGGATCCGCTTTGCCTGGTTTACTATGGCCTCAACCACATCTGGATGGCAGTGCCCACAACAAACTGTTGCAATGCCACCAAAAGCGTCCAGGTAACGACGGCCATCCTCATCAAATAGGTACTGCATCTTTCCATCGACTATGTTCAACTGCAACAAATATCGCAGAATAAATGATCATCTGAATGCAATCATGCTGTGGTACTGACAATGACTTTAGCTTCTATTGCTTGATTGGAAAACTAATATACTTGATCGGTTCTTACATCATACATACTACAAGAGGCACTCATATGATCTCACGTACTAAGTAATGACAGGATGACAACATGCAGTGGTTAACTTTGCTGTTTGCTTCTTTCCAGACATGCAAGTGGATCTCAAAGTGCTAGCTGCTTTTTTTTTTCTCTTCCTTCATGCCAGCTTCTATCAAATTAGATAAGTATATCTACTTTAAAATTATTTGATGTGTAACACACGTGCTTCTCTGAGTACGGCACATGAACTCCAATTATATCTCCTTTAAAATTATTTGATGCATAACACACCTGCTCCTCTGGGTACTGCACATGAACTCCAATGGAACAGGAGTCAGCAAATTAGGTACACGGTTTGGTTGTCTGCAGAAATCCAATCTTGACCTTGTTTATGTACTTTGACAATGCGTGCACAGTTTTAAATGTTTTGTTGTCAGTAACCATGTACGGAGTATATTCTGACAAATAGAGAAACAAGTGGCGCAGCTACATATATTTGAGATCTAAGAGGCACAAAACATAGTTGTGGAAATTAATCGGAAGAGCCTAGATTTTCTACAAGTTTGCAGGCAAAACTGAGCAGCCTCAGCCCTCGTCATTGCAATTTGCAAGAACCCAGGAAAAGACTATAACCAAAGGCCGCTTATCGCTTATTCACTTTTCAATCCATCCGGCATGTAAAGATCTAGGGGCCTCAAAGATCTACTAGTGCACACACACATACAAAAAAAAAAAAATACTGTCGACAGCTTGGGGTACTGGTACTACAAGTTTCTTTTGTTGATTCACTGAAGACTCCGATTTGAGTGGTACTGCCTGCAATGCAGAATTTGTGGCTGCTAGCCAGCATCTATGGGGTTCTGAAATGCATCGAGACAGAGCTCGGTTGCATACTTTTGTAAAGTTATATCAGATCTCACTTTACTTCAGATAAGAACAGAGCACATGCAGTATGGCATTCCTATCAAACCTATCGGAAAACGACAAAGATCACTGCTCTGTGCCAAAAGACTAGCAAGAAGACGGCATTTCCCGAAAGAACAAAATAAAAAATGTTTTGGTTCCGAAAAATGCTAGCGTGGTTCGATAGATCGTCTTAACCTAACTGATCGCCCGGGCGATCGGTGCAGTTTTTACCGAAAAAAAATATTGAAATCCGAAGGTAATTTACAGTTTTTTTCATTTTTCTTTTTGGTCCGTAGCAATCTGGTCCTTCCCAGAGAACTGGAGACTGGAGTGGCGATGGGGGAGCGGGCAAACGTACAGGGCGGTCGTAGAAGTGGAAGAGGGACGGGCTGAGGAACTGAGCCCGCTTCCGGAAGATCTCGTCGGCGCGAGGCCCGTCGTACGGCGGCGGCGTGTAGCCGAATGCCGGCATCTTGGGGACGGCGGCGGCGCCATTCTCTGGCGCGGCCGCGGCGGCGGCCGCGGAGAGGCTGGAGTTGGCACGGGCAGGGGCGAGCGCCGCCTGGAGGAGCCTCCGGGAGGAGGCGAGGCGCTGCATGTGCGGCGCTGTGGTTTTCTCCCTGCGCGGGTGGTCCGGGGCCCTACCGGAGCGGCGCGGGTGTGGGATGGGAGGGAGTTGCTGGTTGATGTTAGCGGAGGCCGGAGGGCCATGTTGATGCCTATAAATAGATGGCTAGTTGGTGACTTGCTGCGATGGGTTCGCAGTGCCAGGTGGGGCATGGGAGGACGACGACGGTCGGTAAATTACCAGTCTGCCCTTCGCTGCTCTCGGCGAGACGGAGACGGCGACGGCGACGGCGCGAGGCTTGATTGGTAAGGGAACGCGAGACGTGCAGCGCGGCGGTGACAACAACCTACACTTTGTGGTACTACATTTTGAGCACCGTCGAGATCAGGATCTTTTGTTCAATTTGCGTTTGAGATTTGGACCGATTTTTTTGTAGCAATGAAATCACACGATTTTAGCTCACACACATTATTAAGCACCAAAAGAAGGAGAACACACGGCACGCAGACGGCATCATGCGCAACGCTTGGCCAGCAACATACCTACCCCGATCGAAATAATAGGCAAAACGTGTGAATGCTGCTACCGTGTAACGTCTTCTGGGCGTATAAAAAAATGATTGCGATCCTTGTCAAATTTTAGTTAGGAAACGTAGGAACGTAGGATTCGAGATCGAA